GATATGGATACACAATTCAGTGATCGAGCGATTGACATACATCTCAGTGTCTATAAGCAGTTGTAGTCTTACTTTTTATGCGCTTTTGAATGCCGAAACAGGTTAAAAAGATCCGCAAGGTCGTAAAAAAACGGTCCTGCGAAGATCACTATTATGTTGCAATAGGGTTCACACTGCGATTTAAGCTTAAGCTAAAAAAAAACAACAAACAAGCAAAAGCTAAAAAAACAAACAAACAAAACATGTTTAGGGATTAAAATGGTGAAGAGGGATTAAATTGGTGAAGAAGATAAAGGGAGGTGTTTTTTTTGTTTTGTTAATTTTTTTAACCTAATTTGTCAATTGCTATGCTTATGTCGGTGCACGCTTGACCTCATTCGTTTGTCTTTTCTTTTGCTTGTGTTATTGCATAGAGTGAACCGGCAATTAATTATGCGCCAGTTGGTCAAGTGCTTGGAAAGTGTTTTCAAATATAAGTATTTTAAGGAAGTTAAGGAATCCATCCTTCCTAAAAAGATGCTCCATCGATTCTGCTAACGGAGACATAGTTGAGAAATTGCCAGCGATCATTAGCGATTTTACGCGWAATTTCAGAGATCCGGCGACTAAGTTAAACAGATCACTTCACGTTATTTCCTGCGGACTAATGCTGTGCCAAACAGTCTTCAATTCCCTTTCCGAAGAAGGTGGATTCTCCGGGCCCTCCAGGTGGGCTGGGGACCGGGTTTCAGTATACAGTTTTATAACGCCTCGATTGCTCTTGCTAGAAAACACGTGTCTCACTAGTAAAGGATACTCTTTACCCACAAAAACTATTTAATACTGATTGATTKATKTATCACTCMATACTAACCAGGCTATAARTTATATAGTCCCGGACCGGSAATCAAACTGGGGTATTAGCGGTGAACAATTCTTGCTCAAAGGGGCCGACGCAGCGTTAATCATTCCGTACTTCATTCGCGTTTGTGCTTGCAAACAGACGATAATCACAGTTATWTAGGTTAATAACCTCTCTGATGAATAAATCATTTAAAGTGAGCAGACAATTCAATTTGTACCGAGGTTTGACCCTGACTGGCCCTGTGCATGGGCACCTGTATCAGCTTGTTCGTGCTACAGGGTCAGCCTGTAGTTGTTTTGAACCTTTATTTTAACACATAGGATAATAATGCCCAGCATGAAATCCTCTTAAAGAGACTTGAAGACTCTTTGTATATCGACCCCTTGTAAGTCAGTTTGTGAAGGATATAATAAACTATCACTTTCTTATTCTATAGTATTACTGATTCCTATTCGCACCCCACCCCTATGGGTTGAACCTTTGTTCTGTGTCCAKATACGTAATCGCTAACACGTTTTGACAAAGGTTATCCACGCAATGTAAACCGTTCTGAAAAAAATTTCATTGTTCGTTGTATTAGTTGATGGTTGATCCCGCCTGAACTCATTTGTGAGTTTCTCAACTCTTGRCACRTTCAGAGAGAAGACGAAGAGACTGGAGAGAAACCAGTCCTACTATCTTGTACAGCACACAGCAAGCCCGTTGGTTTGAGTGATTTCATAGACGAGTGCAATGTAGACAATAACTCCTTTTAAATGACTTTTTTTTCAAAAATCACAGCCGATATACTGGATATCATTGCTACATTTCATTTCCTTGCGAGCTTTAAAAATAAAGTATTTACAATATCTCTGCTTTACAAACACGTGTGTACAGTAATGTTTGAGTGAACTCTACTTTTTACATCAGATTGAATATAGTGGGATTTACCGCTATTATTACCGATATTATCTCGTCAATAGGCGAGAATTCAGTATCGTTCGAGGTTTGATTAATTTCTGTAAATTCAGTAAAAGGCAATTACGCAAAAAACTGTCATTAAATTGTCATTAAAGGGCCACTTGCACCCGACAACCTTTGCGCGTTTATGTTCACAATGGAAAATCGCTCTCTTAGAGAATTCATGGATGATCATGTTAAACTTTCCCGTTTTTGGGAGGACAGTCATCTCGTGTTCCAACACAAAACAGCTATTTCAGAAAACGTTGAAATTCTGAATATATAGTGAATTCCAAGGCCGCAATGCATTGTTACTAGTAAACTCCACGCTAGCTACGTAAACAAAGTGACAATTCCAAACTAATTGCTTTCCATTGAAGTTTTTGACTGTGCGGGGATGGTATATTCAGTGTAAAGTCATGAAAATTCTCCAGCCAGTTCAACGTTTTCTGAAATTGCTGTATCTAGATATATATTTTGATACAATTTAAACACAATTTTCAAAACAACAACGTTTTCAAAAGAAACCAACGCTCGCAAAGGTTCTTGGKTGGAAGTGGGCCTTTAAATCTGCTTTTGTTACCTAAGGACCTACTCGGAAGGCTCCGAAGTAACTCGAAATCCTGGTGAATTTGTACGAGTTATGTGAGAAGGGTAAACGGACTTGGATTCTGTCATTCCGGTCAACTCGGAACAAGCCGCCATGTTGCTTGGTGAAGTGTTTGCTGAATGAGCCGTTGGAAATCCCAACRATGCTTTCCAAAATCTTAATGTCGTTGATGTARGTGAWRTGACCCGTTAAGTGTTCTTTCTCGTTGTAGTAATGCATTTGACAATAAATGTAGTACGTTCCTGGAACACTGATCACAATGGCGCCATCTTTGTCCACGTAGCCAATGGTACCCTGTCTGTGATTGACCACCCATGACTTGACTTTCTGATCAAACGCTGACAAAAAACATACAAAGTGAAAAGGGTTCTACAAACAGGACCTTGGCAAAGAGCTGATCTTTCCATTATCAAAGTTATGCAAAATAATATTAGCTTTTTCTACCTTTCAGTGGAAACTTCTTCTGGTCACCAACCAAATGAATGCTTTCGCTTATCAYATAGGTGCCTATCGGCTAAGAGAACACGAATACAAAAATCATCATTTTTCCCCCTTCAAGTCAGTGACTACCGAATGTGAGTGCTACTTTCATGAAAATGACCTTATTTCAAAACCTCAAGCAATACAAATATATGACTCATTGATATGTATTAAAAACAATTGCGGGAAAATATTTGTTTTGGAATTATCCCACATCAGATAAATTTTGATTCAAAAGATGGAAGAACAAAAGGATGGAGTAAATGACGTCATGTACTCCAACATTTTTTGTCCAAATTATGAAGGATTTGTATCATAATCTTCTTGAAATCTGTAGCCTGTGTACATCCGTTTCTCACCTGTACACAGGCTAGAAATCTGTTGCTTCATGATTATTAGACCCATATGGATAGGTCTATTTGATTTGCAAGTCTTTTCTGATAATTCGAAATTTTCGTCTAAGTAGCACTTTTCCATTTTGACGGAAGTAATTTTTGCTTTGACCTTGTCAATTATTCATGAGATTCTGAGAATGAACGCTTGACCTATTACAGACAAWAGATATGACATTCACAACAGTAAACAATACCTAGAAACTAGATWACTACGCAATTAAATTAACCCAAACACTCTAAATTATTAYCAAAAAACGTTCTAAGCATGCAGTTGGCAAACCTTAGCTGAAAGCTGGTCGATTTTCCTCTGCARTGAYTCCAAATCRCGTCGATTCTTCGATTCAGTCGACGTTCCATTGTTCTTAGAAGACTGCAGATTGCGAATTGTGACTTCCTGGTGWAGAAACTCRTGTTGGAGTACATTAATTTGCCACATCACAACGGCATTCATCGATACTGAAACTATCAGTAACAATGTAAGCAAGATGCGAACACAGCAAGGCAAGAAGATGCAGCTCCGTTTTGGTGSACTCTCCTTCTCCATTGTGTTACTTGCGCATTGTGTGTTACAATGTCAGTGTTATTGTATTGGAAGCTTTCCAAAGCCATTTCTGAGAAGCGGCGTAAACACGTGATGTCAGTTTATATTGGCAACTTGGTTATTTTTAGTGGATTGCATTTCTTGTTAGACGCTAACAGACTTTCCCGCCTTCCGGGAACCGATAGTAATAGGAATTAGTAATAGTAATAGTAATGCTAATTTGGGGTTATTGGGAAGAGTACGGTACTTCCTTTCCTGTTGCTGACCCCTGCCCTCCCTAAATGAAGGGATAAAGCAATTTTTATAAAAMATAAAAGTTTTTATTCACTCTTTTTATAATGTCTAGTATTTAGCATTTGTAGCATTTTAGTGAAACGAAATTGAAAATAAAACTGAAGTTTTTTTATTGGTGGAAGTGCCACTTTTCCTTTAAAAAGTCCTAAAACCAACGTAACAAAGAAACGATTGAATTCTTTTTGAGTCGTGAATATAGTGTCCAGTTTCAATATGAAAATATAAATATTTAGACCGCTGATTACACTGGCTAAGATTATTTTCATCTTTTATAACACTGACGTCGAATCACCTTACTTATGTTTGATGCGTGATAACAAGACCACGCCAAARTATTGATCGGACACTAACACAGAGAAAATACTATGAACGCTCACTCGATCACCTCGCTGTAGAGGAAACGCAGCACCTTGATAGCTCGAGTCGGGATAACTTCCATGACCCGMGCTGTATCTTGTAAGAACTCGTTTATCATTAATGTATGTTATATGGCCCCATACGGAACTTTTCCTGGGGGAGATTTGTAGCTGACTATAAATGAAATACACTCCTGGTACGTTGATAACAATGTAGCCATGTCTGTAGGCAATGGATCCTATTTTGTGTTGTACTTGCCAGTTGTTAATTTTTCCTAAAATAATTCAAAAGAAGGCATGAAACTATACATGGATTTGTAACATTGCACTTGGACTGTGTTAGAAAGTCGTTGGTTATAGCACTGTTTATACTTTTTCAACCTTCTAGGCTAACCATATAGACTTTTCATTTTTCTGGTAAAAATTCGGTATCACTGAAAGGTCTTGAAAGATCAATACTACGCAACGTAATGCACTTATTTTTTTTTCTATTTGACCGCTTTCAGTATACATGGGCGTGTGCAGGAGTTTCGCGAAGGGGTATTTAAGCTTTGTGTTGTGCGTTTTTGGTAGACTAGCTTGAGATCACCATCTACACCGTCTGATCTTTATAGTTACTGTCAAATATTACCTTTAGGAGAAAACTGCTTACTATTTCCTTGCAAATGAATACTGATGCTGCGTTTCTGTAAATAATTATTATAATTTAGAAGTTCATTCGAAATAGATAATGGTTAGGTTAGCGGAGAGAAGAGAGAACTAAACGGGAGACTGTACTGTATAACCTCTCCTAAAACTCATGTCTCCCTTTGGATTTCCGAATGGTTTACTTTTGAGAKAGCAACATCAAAAKAATCCGTCATTATATTCACACTTACCCTTTTCTTCGTTTCGTTTGTCGTTGTGGGACGTTGAATTACTGCTGTATGTGGATTATAAGAGAAAGAAACCGTTATTGAACTTCTACTTTTTGTTAACGTATCACTGGGCATATTCGATCATTCGTTTCTTGTATATAACTGGTTCTTTTTTATTATCCTATCTTTTCCTTTCTTGCCATCGTGAGTTTTTCATTTTGACAATTCTTGTAAAAATTAATCGAGAATAATCGCTTTAAGAGAGCTTGGTTACCTCTTCGCTGAATCACGTGATCCCCTGTTTCATCCTTTGTGAGAGAAAAGCATAAAAAAAGAAAATGAAAAGCTGAACTAAACTGTAAAACGGGCAACAACACTGAAAGAAGTGAAAAACATGCGAATAAACAACAACGAGCATTCTAAAAAGCCAAACTACAAAAGAAAACAACAAACAAATAGAAAYAAATAAAATGGAATGGAATTCATAAACCATTCGGGTACCTCCAGTAAACCAAGAGACACTTCGTATTCAAAAAATTCTTCAAAAATTCGCACCAAGAATCGTCTCAGATTTTGTTTAATGTCATAACTTGACGTCGRATGACTGACTAGCTGTACCCTTGGATGGCTTACTACAGATTTTCTCGKGAAGACCCGAGGCAGGTTTTAAATTTTGAATTAACGACGTACTTACGAGTTCTACATTTTGTAATCTAAACCTATTCCAGGTGTTCTACTAGTTTATCCATATGTACCTGTTACATGTATATTCGTGTGCCGACAAATATACGACGGTAGGAAATATTCCTCACGCAAACCTAGTCTAAAAGCAATTGTTTATAACCTAATTRTGAGTGCAAAGTCTCAGCATTACGCCTGAGGGATCGATGAGTTGATGCCGGTTCGTTTACTTATACTCGTAATTAAACTAACCACAACCTTTTCAATGTCGTTTCATGGAAGACGTCTTGAAATACTAAGTTCAGGAATTGAATTTGATTTGTTTACGAGTAGATTATATGCTTATGATAGGATATAGTTTATAATATATAAATTCCGGATTGGTCAATAAGTCTGAGAAGCAAATGGTTGGAGTTGAATGGGGTTCGAGCCTCGGCCACGGGTCAAAGAATTAATTGAATTTCACAAATACGATTTTTAATATATAGAAATTTGACAATTTCTTCCGAATTTAAGGAAGGCAAATCTTTTAAACAGAAATACGTTAGGACAGATAAAGAGTTTATATTCATACCTAAAGTCTCAGCAAAATTATTGACCATAGGAGGTTAAGATATGCCTACACGAATTAATTAAAACCCGTGTTCCCTGTCGACTTGCATGTTGRCATGTCTTGTGATAGAGTGAGGTCATAAACCCGTGAAAATCAAACTGTGTGATAAAGTCAAATAGACACAAAGAAAACAATTCTATTAACTATAGTCCACGGCTTTTTKACGTCTATCAAATGTMGTGAAAGAAAGAACTTTAGTGACAGGCCATTTGATTTTTTGAGGGGATTGTTTTTGTTACTTACTAGGGTAAAAAACATTTTTGAGAGCGCAAAAATGTTTTTAGAATTATATAGCCGAATCGTGAATAGGTACAATTATTTCATCTGATAAAATTGATGATTATTTCAATAGTATTGTTGGAATCCATTTTGAAATTGATTGTTTCAAAAATAAGTTGCACGGAAGGCGTTAATTTATACMAAATTACATACCAAAAGCCTTACAAATGAATTTTCTGGAACTTTTACTGTGAAAGATATTTTCTCTTCTCCCCCAACCTACGCCCTACCCCATTCTGCCGCAAAAAATCTTAAATGGGGTCCGTCCATTGCTTATCCCCTTACCRTTCAGACAAATTAATATGTCTGTTTCACAGATCGTGCTATTTACAGTCTGTACGTGCGTTTTCGAATGGTACTTTGGTACTTCATGACTGTCGGATGACTCGTTGTGTTTGTACTTTGCAGTATACACTTGTATAGCATGATTGACTTGTTAGTGGAGCTGTAATATACTGACATGCTAAACTTATCAAAGATTTCATCTGGTTTTATCAGTAAATTTCAAAACGACATTACCTTTCTCGTCAAAGAATCTGTGAGATTTTGTTGTACTTCCTTTTAAACAATGTTTGAATTCAGTTGATAATTTTCTTCAAGCTCAGTAATACGCACTTCAACATCGCTAAACTTTGTCAATATGAACACAAAAAACGTGAATGACACAATCGTAAGCAGAGCACAGCAAACTAGAAGACCTAGAAGGCAAACGGTGAGAAGAGGCGATCTTATATCTGCCATGGCTTTCATGTAGACATTTCGGCGCGTCTCTGCACAAATAGCTCGATTCTTAGAAATCAAAGTAACTTATGTTGCATTATATCACGAGGTCGACTGGACTACGAATTGATAGTCCACGAGGCCGAACTCCGCCATCTAGGGGCAATCCCTCCATGGCCACCATTTAATTGGACTTAAGAATGCATTTTAAGCTTCAAAAATACTTTTCCAAGCAATCTGTAGGACAAGGTGCATAGTGTCTCTTCAGATGTTTTTGGATATTATTTCGCTTTACCTTAAATATAAAAAAACCCCAGAAATATTTATCTCTTTGAATGGCTTAATTTTAATTCCTCTTGGGTCTCATTTTAATATAAATCAGTTTTAAGTTATTATCACTCGTGCACGCAGTGATATAATACTATRCTGGTGTAGTGGATAGTCGTTCTTCAGTATTACCACATAAACATTCGTATATTCTTTGTAAAACAAAGATTTTGGTTATCAATTGTCTGGAAAGATCGATTTTATCTCACCATGAAAATTACTGTAGTCAATTGTTAACAAGTACTGAATTCTAAGAACCCAAATAATATTTTTGATGAAAATACTGGACTTATTAACAAAAAATTGAAATCTGACATTTTCCAGACGTCTTTCATTGAAACTGGTTAATAAGGACGATCTCTTAGGCCCTCAAACCTCGCCATTAAGCTATATAGATCCCTCGGGATTAACCTCGCCATTAAGCTATATAGATCCCTCGGGATTAACCCTAACATGGACCCTGCATTCATAATTATAGGTTATAAGTCAAATGTCTCAAACCCTTCCCTGGTTTATAATTCGCCTGTATTAGTTTATATTGAAAAATAAAGACCTTTGAATACAAAAGAAAAATCCCTCTTATACTAAACTCGACAAAGACGTGTTCTTCCATGGACCCAGGGGGGTGGGGTGGGGGTGTTACCGAGGGGAGGGGGGTGGGTGTTAACCTTACTACGCTCAGGCAGGATTTTAATTATTATCCATGCTGGATGCTCATGCATTGAATTCAAGATCTACGGTGAAATTCAACACCTGGGGCCGCTTTAAAACCTCACATAAAACATAAAATCCCGCTTAGACATGAATTTCGGATCACCTTGATGCTAGATGATTATGCGGTAGAGTGAATACATTGTCTTAACGCGGAAGCACATGTCCATCATAAGGTTCTTCTTTTCTCATGTGCTTTTTGTTACAATACAATTCAGACAGTAATAATTCTACACCAATTTCTTCCGAATTTAAGGTAGACAAATCTTTTAAATAGAAACACGTTAGGACAGATAAAGAGTTTAAATATTCATACCAAATTATTGACCATAGGAGGTAAGATATGCCTACACACATGAATTATCGATGTCGATATTTTTTTGGGATTTTCATCCAAAACATGATATTTTGATGCTGTTTACAAGGCTTGTAACGTAATACGTCTCGAAAGTGAAAGTACTTCTACTGACCGACTATTGTTACTATTATTTTTCAACTTGGCAACCAGAAATATTCTTGTGTTTGTTTGTAAACGTGCTGTATTTACGTTATACACTTCATGTAGTTTAAGTTGGTACTTTGGTACTTGCTTACTGGTGATAACGACTGGTTTTTGTACTTTGCAGTATGTACTTCATGATGCAATGTGCAACTATAAATTTCCTGTTTTGTCTGGCATGGTTAACCGGGTCAACTTTCTTTTACATCCATCTATTTATACATATGTAAACATTTTTCTAGCATTTCTGTTCATTAGCGTGATTTTTCAGTAAATTTCATAACTTACGTTTMCTGTAACTTCTCTGACATTTCTTGTACTTCYTGTGTWACYTTTTGGATACAATAGATGAGCGTTACTTTGATTTTCTTCCAGCTGAGTAAGACGCACTTTTATATTGCTAAATTCTTTCACTGTGTACATGGAGAACGTGAATGAGGCAATGGTWATCAGGGCACAGCTAACGAGAAGACAACAGATGAGAAAATCTCGTCTGGCGAAAAGTAWTCTTGTATCTGGCCTAGCTTCCATCCTTTATCTTTGCGCGTCKCTGCACAATAGTTCGATTCTCAGAAATCAACCCTTATGTTTTGTTAATTATTACGTAATATTTTTGGGGAAGTACCTGTTTCGATAATCCCAGTCATTATTGGATTAGACTTATTTCAAGATTTAAAAGATGCTTTTCTAGTCAATCTTTAGTATAAAGTATTAAATACTACGGCTTTTCGACCTATACTTTTTCTGTGGTAAACATCTGATCGGAGTTTTTTTCATATGAGTACTGTTATACTTTTCCAATCATAGTAATTTTTAATATTATAATCACAATAATTACATAATTGAGGTTTAATAAAATGTATGTATGGAAATCAGTCGAATCAATATACGTTAGGCGCGGTTGTCATATGATTTTTTGCGCCAATTGTTTGTTACTATAGTCTATAAATAGTGTATGACAGTTGCTGGTATGTCCCCTCGTTTCAGTTTCGGCGGGAACTTTACCGCTGCAACGAAACCGGATTGGATAACAACAATTCGGCAACCACAGCTTAATGTGTTAAATATTATTTACATTTTAGTCTWTGYAAMWTAAAAKAGGGCAAAAAGAMAACCCCTAAGGGCCTACKCGAAAGGCGCCGAAGTAGCTTGAAGTCTTTGTGAATTCATACGAGTTATGCGTGAAGGGTAAACGGACTTGGATTCTGTCATTCCGGTCAACTCGGAACAAGCCGCCATGTTGCTTGGTGAAGTGTTTGCTGAATGAGCCGTTGGAAATCCCAACGATGCTTTCCAAAATCTTAATGTCGTTGATGTARGTGAWRTGACCCGTTAAGTGTTCTTTCTCGTTGTAGTAATGCATTTGACAATAAATGTAGTACGTTCCTGGAACACTGATCACAATGGCGCCATCTTTGTCCACGTAGCCAATGGTACCCTGTTTTTGATCGACCTTCCATGACTTGATTTTCTGATCAAATGCTACCAAGAAAATAAATTTCGTTAATAGACATTATTGAAGACTGTATAGATAGCATGTTTCTCACTTCATATCCAACAAGAGGATCTCTTATCAATCAAAGAATGGATGTTGACTATTTGTAACTTACCTTTGAGTGGATATTTCTTTTTATCTCCAACTAAATGAATGCTTTCACTAATCTATATCAACAAAAACATGAGAATATATCAACAAAAACATGAGAATATGTTAAAAATTATTTCTTACAACGCTCTAAAATTGTGACAAATTACTTACCACAGAACCTGCTGCAACAGTAGGTAAATGTTTGTCTAGAACTGAAAAAAAATGAACTTTCGAGTTTATTTTTTGTTTATTTTGGCATAAATCCAACTGTCTGTCACGTGGTTGAATTAATGTGCATAATTGTCAATTCTTTATAGATGTTCGCCCAGTCATAGTCTTTGAGGATTTGAGTCTATAGTTAATAGAGTATTTATAACTGTGGTCAGATAACTTTCTGCAGGACAGGTTTTATATATTGTACAGCTTGTGCAGTAGTCGATCGCTGGATGATATTGCACTACCTTACCTTTTTCTACAATTTTAGTGATATTTGAACCTCTTGGTCCTTGTTTTCCATTACTGCCTTTTGATTCCTTGTCGGCTTTTCTGACCAGTAAATAATCACTTTCTATCGTAATGACTTTCGCCTTAAGTTCGCGAAACTCTATAGATAYGCCTATGAAAATCCATATTAAAAAACCTACAGAAGCAATTGTTATCAACCCACAGCACGCAATAACAAMGCGGTAGGCKAGTGGAATCTTAGCACTTTTTGTAGTCATTGCAGCTCAAGTTTTCACCTTTTCAACTAGTTTTTTATGAAGCATTTGGAAAGATGTTCTGAAAATTTATTACRGTATAAGGGATTTCCCCGTGGGATTTTGGAGTACCTTGAATCTGTGGAGCATGACTAACTCGGAAAGGAAGACCATTGTCTTATACTTAGAATTGSTTGTAAGATTGAATTRAAATACCCAGAAATACGGCTGACTCGTTTTGAATTGCAAATTTGGTATTCAACGAATTCCTGGATGAATAGTTTATGRTGAATAGTTTCATGATGTGACTAAAAAGAGTACAAGACATAATCACTAAAAATAACACATATACCGACGATGCTGAAGTAGAAATAGTACCGTACTGAGGAAGGACAAAGGAAGGAAAAAGGAAAGAATTGTAAATCTAAAAATAATCCATTCGCTTGCTAAAGTTAATCAAAAATTAGCKCATTTAACGGCTTTTGAAGCTTACAAAGTCGTTGTCGAGTTCTTCATTTTTTCACCAATTTTATTGAAACACTAGACTACAAWAAAAAAGCTKGTAAAACTCTGTATTACTTCCGGCTTGGAAGTATAAAAATAGAATTTTTGAGAGTAACCKCTGTTCACGGAWACACCCGAATGACAGGAGACTTTATGTTACAGCTRTAAGGAGCGTGTAAGGAAATGTAGGGAAAGTTTCTTGGAGCTATTTTCAACCACTTTGACTCTTTTTATAGACTCTTTCGGAAAAAGTAAATCAAAGAAATGAACCAAAGGAATATTAGAGGAATTAAGCCACTGTTTAAGATGAAAATATATATAAAGAAACAAATTGTAATCAAAATTTTATTAATAGAAACCAAATGAATAAATCAATATGTAGAGAGAATAAAGGATGCATGCCCATGAAAACGGCAGCCTCATCCACGCGTATGTGGCACATTTTAATCCGCAAAACGTTCTTTGCGGGAAACTTATGCGCGTATTTTCGAGTTTGAATCTTATTTTGCCAACCAGCAAGTATCCGGCAAATTATTAAGACAAACGACGATTAAAATTCACGGATTTGATTTTCACTCTATCGCAAATTAAACTACTTATTACAATTAAGTTACTTATTACTCCTTAAATAGTATTACTGATCAGTTGCAATTTCGTTAAGGGTGTACTGACATATCCGTTGCTAGGGAAATTCAGTAGTTCTCTAAAATGACAAACAAAAGTAAAATCGCTTTCGTATTAAGTATTAAGCCTTCCCAAACAAAAATAACACATTCTATGACGTCATAGTATGACGTCATCGCGTGACGTCATTAATACGAAAACATGCTAACATTTTATCAAGCAAAGTATATTTAAACGAATGAAAATGGATGAAATTAATCTTTAGATTTAAGTCCGTAAAGCCAAGCATGCGTTTTTGGAATGATTGCCAAATAAGCTTTCTACGATTTTTTAAATGCCACAAATAAGCGAAAAATGCCAATAACTTTCGTATTTTTTAATTTTTCGCCAAACCCAGGTTTGGTTATGAAGAGGAAACAAAAACCTTTCCTCCGGAAGTAAAAATTTTCCCGCCATGAAAACGCGCGCGCGCCCGTTTCTCCGATTGGCTAGCATCGGCTAGCATAGCAACCAGGTCGTCTAGAAACGGATACGTCAGTACACCCTTAACATCACAAACAAATCAAGATCACAAAGTACTTACAATCACACCTTACATTCATGAAACGGTTAAAACGTCGCATATCACATGTACCGAAGTCATTGTTATTGCAATAGTAGAAATTATTTGCTTTGAATTCGGTAACCTGCTTTGCACACTGCATTTTTCATGCGCGACAATCTGGCTGAAATAGAATGAATAATGTCAGAAGACTATGAATTTTGTACATGTTAAACTGGCCTAGTTAGCGGTTTATCGAGTTGCCGCATCTTCTCGCTTTTGCCGCCATTTTGAATATGAACAGTATGTACTTCCTCCTTCCTACTACCTCACTATTCAAATGGTCGCCTCGGCGACGTAATGATGAAAAATCCCAATTACAACATGTTGATATTACTATTCACTAGGATACAGCAAGAACGCCCCGAAGTACGTCTTAGTGGAATGGAAGTTATAAAACCCGTTAACATGTACCCTCAATGAAATCTYATCCCCTGTATCCAAGCGAAACATRGCACCATTATAATTGCTATTGTACTTGGTATTATTATTGGTCACACCGCTTGAGCTGTGTAGTATTTTCACCCTGTTTCTATAAAGGCCGTGGGAATAATGGTAAGTTGTTGCATCAAAGTAAAATACTTGACTGTAGATGAAGTAGTAACCGGAGTCAGATATGACCACGTTGCCCGCTCGCTTGTCGTAATGGATGTTGCCTTTGCGATGCCCTAAGTCCCAATGCTTGACGTTCAAATGTGCTAAAAGGGAAATTACATTGATCTGGTGAGATTTCCCTCTGTCATTCTCCGAGTATCTACTATTCGAGTTACTTTTATAAATTTGTTTTTAGTAAAAGGGTTTCGAAAAGTAAGGCCATCTTTGGCATCACAGAGGCAGCAACCACACCCATTACAGAACAACTGACTCAGACAGTTTTGCTAAAATAGGATTCTAAAGAGCATGCGCCTTAAAACGTGTTTCATCRGATAAACGCACTTTTAATCATCCCATAACGTTCATAGAAGTATACTTTACCTTGRTAGACTTGGCTCAAATAAGGTAAAATTCCCTTTTTTATAGTAACAACGACAGTTTAAAAATTCAGGTTTTATTAAAGTGTTTGGAATTGATTCGCTTTTTACAAATCATGTAAATGATAATAGCAGTGTTTGAATCGAAGCAAATAATGCACAGCATCGCATTGTGACTGATGATCTAAAAGGGTCTATAAGTATGTGGTCTTGTTATAATACTAACGGCTGTGTATAGCGTCCTTTGATCGAGTTACTAAATGAGTACCCTCAAAAAGGCGTGCGTACAAGCTTACTTTACGGGATAGACCAAAAAGGCTCCAAAGAAGCTGGCTCTAGGGTCCATAAAGTAAGTAGAGCCCCTTGTGGATATTTTCAATTTGATCTGATCACCAGACGATAAGCGGAGTAAGGCACCGTTAAAGTTCGTGTTATATTTCCTTGTATGATTAGGATAAGTGTTCGAAAAGCTTTTCATGATCGTTTTGTTATTCACGGTGATTGAGTGACCCATCACAGGCTTGTCTACGTCACAATAAAACATCTGGGAGTAAACAAAGTAGTACCCAGGTCTCTTGACCACTATCGACCCAGTTGCCCTGTGGTATTCGAAGCTGCCCCGTGACTCATGTTTCATTGATCTACGCCATTGTGTGACACTTTGTGCTGTATCTGACGAGAAAATACTKTCACGTAAAAACTGATCTTAAAATGTTTGTAAATATGTTATGCATATGTTTTATGATATGAAGAAACCCCTCTAGTGCGAGTGGTAGGACAAAGATATTTCCCGTGATTATAAGGCGTTCTTATAAGATGTGTCCGGTTTATGAAGGGTGTTCGTAATTTAGAGACCATATCGACACGGGCAGCATCCAATCACACAGCCTTTGATTGAGGGTACTCTTACCAACGAAAATCGTTTATTTCTRGAAAACTATAATAGATTCAATAAATAACTTAATCACAAAAAAGCCGGCGTGTCAATTTGCGTATCAAAATTTGTTTTTTTTTTCTTCTGATTCGTTAGGTATCCTCGGACAGCAAAATAATATGCAACATCTGGTCAATGCATACGAGCTATCTAAGGACCTACTCGGAACGCGCCAAAGTTACTCATAACCTTAGCGAATGAATACGAGTTATGTGTAAAGGGTAAACGGACTTGGATTMTGTCATYCYGATCTAATCGGAACAAGCCGCCATGTTGCTTGGTCAAGTGTTTACCGTGTTCACCGTTCGAAATACTGACGATGCTTTCCAAAATCTTCCTCTTATTGATGTAGGTGATGTGACCYGTTAAGTGTTCTTTCTCGTTGTAGTAATACATCTGACAATAAATGTAGTACGTTCCTGGAACACTGATCACAATGGCGCCCACTGTTGGCTGATATTGGATGCTACCCTGTTTTTCATCGACTGCCCATGACATAACGGTTTGATTAGCCTCTGTTAAAGATACAGTCAATAAAAAGATGTTGTCGTTTTAAAACTACGCCATAATACTGTAAGTATTGCGTGGAAGTTATTGAAGTGATGCGATTTTGAGCATTTTAATGTTAAAAAGTRTTATACGTAGTAGATAAAGTATTATTTATTATTAACAGCAATTGCTTAGTGAAGCGCGATTCCCATTGTTTAATGCTTTAGTGCAAGATACCTGCGTCAGTAAACAAATTCTGTGTACTTTTTTCCGTAAAACATTTGGGCGTAACTGATCTGAAATAATATCTTACCTATTTGAGAAAATCGTTGACCATTTCCAACCAAGTGGATACTAGCACTTTTCTTTTGAAATAAGAAGAGAGCGAAATATTACGGCTTTTTTGATAGACAGTTTGAAATGGTCATGACAACGACTTACCAGATTTCCAGGGGGACCTTTGTCACCTGCAGATAAACAATTATTTCATAATTTATCAATTTTATCAATTTATTCGTTTCATTTTCATGATGAATATCATCGTTTACATGTCAATGTTTATCTATGGTTTCTAACCTTTATCTCCTTTGATTCCATTCAGACCCTGTGGTCCTATTTGTCCTTGGTCACCCTTGGGTCCTTGGTCACCCTTGGGTCCTTGATCACCTTTGGGTCCTTGATCACCCTTGGGTCCTTGATCACCATTGGGTCCTTGATCACCCTTGGGTCCTTGGTCACCCTTAGGTCCTTGGTCACCATTGGGTCCTTGGTCACCCTTGGGTCCTTGGTCACCTTTGGGTCCTTGGTCACCCTTGGGTCCTTGGTCACCATTGGGTCCTTGATCACCCTTGGGTCCTTGATGACCTCGTCTTCCTCTTCTGCCTTTTATACCACTTTTGCCCTGTGCTCCTGGAATAGAAGATAAAAGCAAAAGGCAAGTGAATYTGACTGTTTTTGTTAAAACTATCATTTGGTCACGCTGACGTAGCGTGACGGTTATAGACGGCATGACGCTGGCGTGAAATTGGTTCCAGTGCAGTGACGTTGTCTGTATTTGACGTTGTATGTTGTGTGACATGGTGTGTAGCGCTGCTTACCTTTCGGTCCTGCAGGACCTTGTGCTCCAGGAGGGCCAGGTGGCCCAGGAGGACCTTAAAATAATGACATGTTTATAARAATGGTGTCTATAATAGATCTTGTTCGGGGATGTGCATCGAAACCAATTGCCCATGACATTACGTTCGCCTGCGTACAAGACACGATAATCGCTGTTTTTATTCGTAAAACAATGTCTGCAAATCGATATTTAGACATGATTTTGGGAAGTGGAAAAATTAAAGAAATACTCTTTTTCAAGCATCCTTCTACTTGTCTCATTACAATCCATGGTTTATGGTGTCASTGATGCTTGACGTTCTATTTACCTTGACCTTGTTTTGCATTTCATTGTAAACAGAACGACAGCAGACTGCAGTGATTATTCGTTCTAGAATACATCATCAAATATAYCCGASAGYTCTTAGRATAMCGAAAATAACGAATCTTAGTCCGCATGAAGTTCTTAAAAATGCCACAAATAAAGTGTCACAGTCAATACAAGATAACTGTTGACTGTTTCAATTCAGTRTCAATTTAGTGTCTTTACATCCGGGCTTTTACAAAATGCGGAAGTTGTTTTACTCGCGTGTGAAGTGTCAAAAAAAAAATGATAAATTGCTCAAACGAGGTTGTGAAGTCTTTATTCCTYATGAAGAAAATCAACGAGCGGTTCCTGTCTCCTACTGAAATTCCTTGTCTGTAGTATTCTGTGAACCCATATTGTCATAAATATATTGTTTATACGTGCTTGTAGTAGTGGGTATAGTGCAGCTGGTACAGTATAAGATATAAGGAACTCCCACCTGTAATGCAATCGCATTTCATTTTTAGAAACTGTCTACGATTCCTTCTTTTATCTTGATTTGATGCGACCTTGAATACATTGAACACAAAACAGTGTCAGTTTAATTGCTGTTGATATGCAAATCGTCGATCGCATTGCTGCAAAGATTGAGCACAAGCTTATTTTAGTTAATTATTCAAATGCCACTTTATTGAACAGTGCTATTATCATGCAGTTATGGCCTCGTTATCTTTACAATTAAATATCTTTACAAAACTATTCATGTTCATTATCTGAAGTGGTATTTACTTCTTAGAATCTGTGTAAACTTTTTTTTTTAACGTATTATCATACATACTGACACCGTGTAGTCTTCACCTAACATACCTCCGCGTTCAAGATCCTTGATTTGATTTCATCGTTCTTCCCTTCTTTGCCATCAAGCACTTCTTTAGAAGCCAGGAGAGTTTCTAGAGTAACAACTCGTTGAGTAAGTCGTTTAACAAGATTCTCCAGCTCATCTATTCTGTGTGACTGTGCTACAGTCTGCCTAGATTGTAAAACCATGTATACAGTTGTACACACGACAAACAACAGCAAAACAGACACTGTACAACACAGCATTAAGTCTGGGCTTCGCGAGGGCATTGTGTTGAGTACTGCTYTTTGAGTCTCTAGTTGGTTGTCAGGCCATGCTACCTTTGCAGACTCCACAACTGAAGGCTTGTGTTCTTGTGTTCTTGCGTCTTGCTATTGTTTTTCTTTCATGGCTGAGTGACCTTTTTCGTTTTTCTCGGAACAGGACAAGAACACTGCGCGTGTGCAAAGGTCTTGCTGCAGTTCRTGCTGTGCACGTGCGTTASCTAGTTTTCTTGTGGMGGGGTGTTCAAAGCACGGCTGTAGCGAGAATTGAACTTTCTTGGGGCACAMACAGTAACACAGTAAGAATCGTGAAAAATCGCACGTTTCAATTTTTCCTTCATACATTTATTGGATTCGACAAAATCTTTGGGGGCACGTAACACCATCCTCCCACCCCCCATCCCCCCCAATCCCATCCCTCCCCTTCCCGTGCACCCTCCCTACACTAATKGTTCTAAGGTCCTCTAAAATTCATACCAGCTTTGGTATTTCATTGATCTTTATCGTCGAAGGAAAAAAGACAGTGCATTGGGCACAGAGATACTATATCAATACATTAATCTTGGATGCCTCTCCTTCCATGGTACTTCATGTTTTTTGGGGGGTTCGATCGAGAGCTCGTTCTGAGTTTAGACTAGTCAGGCATTACTCCTTAAACTACTTCCATTGGCTGCCGAATTCTTACTTCCTATTCCATTGAAAATTTGAGTTCGGTTGATCAGTATTTAGGRTGGCAAGATCTGTGGAATCTTTCTCTTATACAGCGCATTGTAGTTAGTGCTTAACCTGCATTACTTCCTTATTTTCTGTACAGTCACACTAAACCCCACCCTTTCGTATTTTCGGCTATTCCTCTCCTGATTGATTCCCCTTGAACAGCTGACAGATAGATTTCACAATCTACTATACTATCGACAATTCTCCGAATCTTTGATGAGTTGTTTGGTTCTTGGAATAAGAGGATGTGTGWTGAATACAAGCAATACTAACAATCCCTAGGGTGGAGTAGGGCAGAACATTTGTAAGGTAGTGTTGGCTATCTACATTGTGTACTCCTAACGTATTCCTCGTCATATTCACTTACTGATGTGTGGTGTCGCAACAAAAAACGTGGGTCTTTCGTGCGCCTTGCGTAACGGCTCTGCGTAAACTTAGGTCCGTTAATAACCGTTTAGAGAGCATCTTAAAGTATTGGTCGTATTCACTAATTACGTTTGGAATCGCAACAGAAAACTGGGTCTTTATGTGCCTTGCGTAATGGCTCTGCGTAAACTCAGGTCCGTTAATAACCGTTTAGAGAGCACCTTAACGAATTTGTCGTATACACTATTTCGTGTGGACTCGCAACAGAAAACTGGGTCTTTGTGTGCCTTGCGTAATGGCTCTGCGTAAACTCAGGTCCGTTAATATCCGTTTAGAGAGCACCCTAACGAATTTGTCGTATCACTATTTCGTGTGGAATAGCGACAGAAAACTGGGTCTTTGTGTGCCGTGCGTAACGGCTCTGCGTAAACTCAAGTCCGTTAATATCCGTTTAGAGAGCACCCTAACGAATTTGTCGTATCACTATTTCGTGTGGAATAGCGACAGAAAGCTGGATCTTCGTGTGCCTTGTGGCTCTGCTTAACTCAGAACCGTCAATAACCGTGAACTATTTTAATTTGATTTGATTTCAAGTGCTGTTTTGTACGTAAACGTAGATACGCAGGTCATGGTTTACGATTGTATGGTAACTTCTTTGCCGCGTTATCAGCAACTTCAWATGTTCAATTTTCATGATTTTTTATTGATAAAATAATATTTACAAGCAAACAACGTAGAAATTATAACTTCTCTAAGCAGCTATCTCTATTTATAGTGTAAAATAATACTATTTGATGAAAATAAAAAGAAATTTCTCTTAAATATATGATCGTATTTTGCGCGCTTTTTAAGCAATAATAATTTTAAAGGCAAATATTTTGTTATTTTACAGCTTAATTTATGTGCCAAGTATACTCACTCCCTCCCTCCTTCGTAAGATAAATATTATTTATATTCATTGATAGAAAGACATAGGAACTGAGATGTACAAAACATTGACATATTTACAATTAGTTCAAAAATAACCTTGTATAAAAAYGGGTTTCAATCAAAACGTATCAAAAATATTTTATCTCCATAAATTTTCAAGTAATAATCACGTTTGGAKAGGAAATTCAGGAAAATACAGCGAAAATTTAGCAAAATATGTACATATTTCGGAATGGAGCTGTTGCGAGTGCTATCTCATTCTAACCAACTTCCAAGTAAAAYCTAAGTCTAATGCCCTTTGAAACTCATGATTTTAGCAACTATTACGAAATTAATTGAAAATGAAGTAGGACTATTTATTATTTATTTACAAAATCTCCCTATCCCCTCACGGTGTAAATTTCACCCCACCCTACCCCCCTCATTCCGGGTGTATCATGAACGCACCAAAGTACGTATACTCGGGCCTCATCAAATATATCTTGCTGATAAACACCGACACTGATAGCCTGTCGCCCCTTCGAAGCAGRAACACGCCGCCATGGCTGTTGGTGTTGTATTTTCTTCTTGCGCTAACCACACTGGACGCACTGCCCAATATCTTAACCCCGTTCACTAGGGTATAGTGGTTGAGTAGCACCGAAGTCCCGTCGTAATAGTACATTTGACTGTAAACGTAGTAGAAACCCGTACGACCGACGATCAACTCGCCGGTATGTGCGTTATACTGGAAGGAACCCTTGGTGTGTTTCTTGTGCCAGTACGTGATGACACCTGAGGACATTGAAAAAGTGAGAATGAATAATTGAATGAATAAACGAATGGAAAGGAATGATTGAATAGTTGTTTTCGGACGTCAAGGTGGACAAACGTGCGATAAATGGAAGAATGAATAAGTGTGAGTGAATTGATGGATAACTGAACAAATAAATGACAAAATTAAAGTAGGAAGACTGAATGAATCCCATAGTACCTGCATGCACTTTTTTACTTCCATCGCCAACAAGGTGTGCACTTTCAGCAATCTATCAAAWGCATATGAAACATTAACTTTCTTCAATAACATCTTACACATAAATTCTAAAGCCACGAGTTACTTACCAGTGAACTGTTATCTGTAAAAACAAGAATAAAAGCTTATGTTGAGTTTTGGATTMGTTATAAAAATAACAATTGATAATTGACCATAAAAAAATATTCGTTTGAGGTCTTGTGTACCTTTTGGGGCAGGTGCGCCTCGAGGTCCTCTAAGTCCTCGTGCTCCTTGACGGCCCTGTATTCCTTGGGGCCCAGGAGGACCCTGATCACCTTTGTCTCCTTTCTCCCCAGGTTCCCCCTTGTCACCTTTTGGCCCGGGAGGACCTGGATCACCTACAACAAGTTAATTAAAGATGTCTATATAAACACATGGTGCCATATTAAAAACCATTAAAAATAAATATCATATAAAATGACTGTAAAATCTTTAAAGCAAATGTAAACAAACCTTTCTCCCCCTTCCTTCTTCTCCTTCTTCTTGCTGTGAAGTAACAAAAACAAAAACGTCAATTTGAAATAGATATATGTAAAACGTATGTGTAATTTTAAATGTTAACAAGAAACTTTGCAAACAAACATTTCCGATAGCGAAACAAATGTTTGTGTGTATTTTGTAACCAAATTTCCTTTAGTGTGGTCGAAAAAAGCAACATAAAACTAGTGTTTATTGTGCTAGGAGGAAACTCGGATATGAAACGTTTCACTCTTTTAATAATGTTATATTTACTTAGAAAGATAAAAGTGAAAGAACACATGGCTCAGAATACATCAAACATCCGGGCCACTTTGAGAGATATACAATGCGCTTGACGTACATGACATGAAGTTTATAACTGCGTAATGTACTGATGTTATCACTTGTGGCACTGCTTAATTGATTAATTAATGACAAATTTCGTTTCCCCAAGCATCTAAGATGAAAAATAGAAGGGAAGGCCCTGGACTCTCCAATGGTGACATCACGACGCTTTAGAGTGAGAGTCTAACCAGTTTTTGTGTCTTATTTTATAACAATTAAGTATTAGAACTTGCAAAGGCGCTACACAAATGAGTTATACGCTTCATGTATTGTACACATACTTCAATTACATTTGTTACTCCTAAAAAATGAAAACTTAACGCAGAGAGCATCATGGGACATACTTGCGATGCGTTTTKTTGGTTTTACTCAAGCCTACTAGAATACAACTATATTAACAGACAGATAGAGTGGTACAGTCCACGCGACTTGTTCAGTGCTCAAAGCTGCGTACCCACAACACTTGAAATAACTGTATGTTGTTAGGGTGTATTCTTCTTCACTMAAAAAGCGCTAATGTATCTTGTTGAGTGGTAAATGGCGTTCATACATMGACTAAACAACAATCTAGTCTAATCTTTGTTGATTTATAAAACCCTCAAAGCAATTAAAAACCAATACGCACTCGAAAAAAAGTACGCAAGGAATGTACGCAGCCGTATTTTACATTGTGCCCTCGTAGCCTTACATTGGTTGTAATCACAAAGCTGGCAGATTTCCTACATTGATATGTACAATGTAATCCAACCATACAAATACCATCACTTCATCATCATTAACTCTAATTGCATTAAACAATAGCGCCTATTGTCTGCATTTTGGCAGCTCGCCCCAGCAATGAGAGTGTTGCTAACAACATGAATTGTACTTTGTAGCTATTGAGTGAATAATCCCTCCAACCCAAACAATTGACTGGTTAATCCTTTTGCACTCTGCATGACTTGCTATTTCTATGCCAAGTTCCCACGCTTGGGARCGTGTACTGCAGGAGTCCCCAATGAATCATAGCCACACGTCTACATTTTAGTGGCGTTTTGCACCAATTGTTTTATATTTCCCTCGATAATTAGTACAATATGTGCTAAAAGGACGGAATTTTGAATGAGTTCCCGTCCGCACTTCTCCCTTTCCGCTGGTTTTTGTACTGTTTTAAAACAGACAAACACATTTGATAAATGGGGTTCTATCTACATTTTCAACTTGTCAATGCATTGTCATACTGCAGTGGAACATACATGTGTAGTGTACAGAATAGGCAAATAAAGTACTCACTTTTCTTGTCAGCTCGCTTGCTTCTGGCGTACTCTTCCTCATCTGATGTAGCCACCTGAAGAACAAGAGAAAACAATCTCAGTAAAAATGCTAATGTATCTGAGTTCTCTAGCTCAGTTTCTAGAGAAGATTTCTCAACATTTTCTTTTCGCTTTTCGGGAGAATTTGAAAGGAATTTTTTACTGAGAGTCTAAGAAAGCTTGTTGTCCATAATATTCCATTTGCATTCTCATTTTCGCTGAAATTGAAACATTAAGTTATAAAATCTACTGCAGATTCGTTGTATGTCTTCCTTATTAATGTCTTTTGACAAGGTAGAACACAATTTTGTTTCATGGTCTCAATGGGGTTTTTTGTATCTTTTTTAGGTGAAAACGTTTGTGCGTAGTTTGTCATTACRTAATTACGTGCGAGTCGCTTTACTGAGAAGGCGCTCTTCCCTCAAATCCCAAATCTGATTTGAATGATTTGAATAAACTAATAACCACATATAGATAATCTCAGTAGGGATCTGTGAAGCAAATTTRCTTGACGTTGCTGCTAAACACTTGATTTGTAAAAACTACGCAAAAATAGCGCTCATTTATGTGCGTTGCAGTCAGTGCTAAACAAAACTCGCCTACAATTTGAACAATGCGGTCTAGAACATTGTCAATATTTACCGCCAAACATCAACAACTCTTTAAAAACTAAAAATTACTTCTTGAAGTATAGAGAGTGTGAGGAATTGGACTGATATTTTGTACGATATAATATGTGACCTACACCATCAATGGGGCTCAAAGACGAGACCGCACCCCTTTTGAGGCTAGACAAAATAGTAGACAGGAAAAGCACAAAGCCCTTTTCACTAACATGAGGTRTAATGATACTCTTTTCAGAGGATTGTTGTAGAGTATTTCTCCGTTCGTTTTGCTWTATAATTTGCATAGGATCTACTGACTGTTTCAACAAGAAGCTTTGYATTCTTTATTCAGTTTTCACGCAAGATTTACCMATTATYCTTGCGTGTGCCATTTCATAACACAGACCAAGGCCAACTCACGAACGCCCAGTAGCTTAATTTAAGTTCTTGAACCAAAATTAGAAATCAAATCTTAAAATAGAACACCTGAACAAAAAACCTTTTAACGAAGGATTTCATAAACTGCTGGAAGGCGACAGCGAAAAAACAAAGATCTCAACTGAGCGTGAAAAAAAGGCTGAATATCGCTAAGACTTGGTGTGCGGTTTTAATTCTCCCGCACCGCTCTCSATAGAACAAGCCGACGCTTTATCATGCGTAGCGAAAACCACGTTATTATTGAAGTTACAAAGTTCACAGAGGTCCGAAAAGAAAATGGAGGAATCACGTGGCAAAGCATCTGCWTGTCACGTGGTMATTGTGTCCATTCAATRAAAACCATCAACCAATATATTTTATTATCTGTTATTTATCTGTTACATAGCGCAAGATAGCCAAAACAAAACATCCGTTGCCTCTTCCTCTTACCAACTGAGTCTTTGTGACATAGYGTTCAAACTATTATGACGAAAAACCTCAGATAGTACGTACGAGAGGTAGTTWAGGAAGTTACCAAAACACATCGCCGGCATCTCCGTTTATTTATCTTTGTTTAAAGTTTTGTTAATGTGATTTATGATRTGCGCCATATTTGTCTCTCCGGTGTTTTCTTTTATCCGCTCTCCCGTGGACTCTGCTTGTTCGGAGATGTCGCGGGAAAATGTAATGCGATAAGATATAAACAAAACTCAAATCCTTGTAACTTGGMATTGTCGAAATTCTAGATTCGTGTAGAGTATGTTCATCAGGAAATCAGAGATAAGCGAAAATCACTTAACTCGTTCGCCGTGACTATTTATAGATGGATGTCTTTATAATAACAAAGGATTTCGAGTAAGAATTACAGCGCCAAGAATGAATTTGCATAATGACCAAAACAAAGCAACGTCAAAGTCCATTTTCAACGCAAAAATTCTGAATTAAAGTTTGAGCACATTTAAATGAACTTGTGTTCCTTGGATGAGTATTTATGTATAAATGAGAAGAGATACATGTGGCTTGAGTTGGGAACATGTGTCGGCACGCATTGTGGGRTTCAAGTTTAACTAACTTTATGTATTCATATTTTGAAAAATGTTTTGGTTTGAAGACAATGTAGATATAATTGAGTCTGTTGGAAGTATCTTTTTACTTACCTCGTTGACAAGGCGCTCTACATCRTCTCCTGTATCAGGGCTTTCCGTCGAACGGGCCGAGACGATTTTCTCAATCTGTTCAACCCGCTTCTCGAGTCTCGTGGTATAAGTTTGTAAATCAGCGTGATTGCGAACAAGTTTTACCACTAAGATGGTCAGACTTACTGAATAGACAACGATGGAAAGCAATGAAATAATCACAACTAAACGAAAACATTTCGATGCCTGTTTAGATTCCATGATTACGCCTGATTGTAAGGGCCTAGAGTGAATGAATGACTGAGCTGTCTGTCCTTGATGCATCTTCTAACATTGTAGTGCATCTCCGGCCAAGCTTGCTCCCTATTGTTCCACCTCTGTGGTCAGTGCTTCCTTTATTCCTTGAAACTTCCTAACAAATGATGGACACCTGTCAATCATTCATGGAGTCCRACATGGAGATTTGTCTCCTGATCTTTCTGCGACTTATATTTCAAATCCCCCTGAAAATCATTATTAGTAGTCTCAACAACGTACAGGTTTAGATAGAAATTTGGCACGGAAATTATGTTTATATTAACTTTTTGATTTTTTATCAACAAGGAAAAAAATTCAAATATTACGTGCGTTGTGTAATGCTTAAGTAATTTCACCTGACCTGTGATCAAATTGTAAGTAATTCTACGGTGTATTCAATGTAGGTCAAAAAAGCCGGTTCAGTGTTGTGAACACAGTACCCCCTCTCACCCCTCCCTACAAAATATTGCTACAACAGTCGACTTGGAAAGCTAAAACAAGTAGACAAGTTTGACAGTGCTATCCTCCAACATTCAGGCGCACTATGCGAGATTTATTGGCATGAATTGAAGAATCTTGCAAGACAATGTTATTTTCAGAGGACAAGAACAKCCATTAAGTCAACATCAATTATTTTTCTATCATCACTCGGCGAACCTATTGTTCTCTGAAGTGTAGCTGAGTAACGTCATTACGTCATTACGTACGTCACTGATACGCTGACGAGAAATCCAATCATATCCTAATCTACTCGTCGCGGTTTAAGGTGGAGGGGGGTTCTGTTTGTATGAAGATCAATTTGCTGACAAATGAGGAAGGGATAGGAAGAAAACGGTATTATATAATGCATAGAAATAGGAATTGAGTTATTTTTGGCTAATATATGACTTGCTTTATCCAATTATTATAAACATTAAAGTACTTCGTCATTGGAACTAAATGTAAAACTGAAATCATCGTTTTGCAGGGGACTTTAATTAAATTTTCATGTTCTCTTATATTATTAATTTACGTCATGGATTTTATTTGACGATGGTGTGTTCAGTGCCAATGCGGTTAAACGAGGAGTTGACGTTTAGTTGTCATATCCTGTCATCATTTGTCGTAGAGAATTGGCGATGTCTATCGCTTAAATATAAACGATATGAGTGACCAGTAGTATATTCATCGTAACTGACCTGTCAATGTGCAACTGATAGTCTAATGATGTAATTTTTACAAAAACGTTCTACAATTAAAACGTTTCTTTTTGTTTCTTTGCGTATCTTTATCATTTTTTTATTTCAGCGTTTAATTATAGCTGAAATTAGAGGCTTCGAGGGCATGTTACCGAAGTTGGTCTGTGGTAAATTTTATTTTTCTTTCTTTGGCGCACTACGTTTATAACTGTTTCAATGCAAAAATGAAAAATTGATCGGAATGGAAACATACAATTTTCAGTGATTAAAAACGTAATTATATAGCCACATTAATCCCAAATAGGTAAAAGCTGGATTTTTCGTTAATAGTTTGCAATCCTGTCCAATTAAGAAATTAATTGGACAGGTTTTCAATTGGGTTTTTGCTATAAAGCTGTGGTTGGCTTTTACCTATTTGGGATCAATATGTGGCTATATAAAAAAAAAATTCCTCTGACTGCCAAATTGGACTCGGCCACGGCCTCGTCCAATTTTTGGCAGTCCTCGGAATTTTCTTCGTCCAATTATTTCTTAATTGGACAGCATGGAGTCCTATTACATATAATAATAGGCTTCGCCATCATGTCAATATTTTGTACTAAAACTTGATTGTTGATTAAATTCTTGAATATCATTAAAATGAAGGTTTGTTTCTTTAGAATTACTGTAAGTATACTGGAGTAGTAGTGAACCAATGATCGTGAGTTTTTCTCAGTTCAGCATGGTGTAAAAATAAAAGATTGTTTTTATACACAAACGTATAGCGTATAAATGGATAGTTACGTATTGTTTTTGTGGTKAATAAAGTTTGTAAACTTGACTAATGACGTCATTGTTGCTATGGGRATGACGTTACAAGTAGTTTGGCGGATATGCTCTAATTTGGGGCATCAATTTTTGACGGTTTCATAAATACCAACCCGGAAAAAAACATATTCAATTTCCTATAACGGCAATAATATTGACTTAGTCTTAGTCATCAAKACCGTTTCATTGATTACGGACGTTATTCATATATAGTACCTCTTCAGTTCGGAATATCGCGAAATCAGAATTGCAGGAAGGGCCCGTGTTAGCTTCTTTTGTAACTGTTATGTGTCGTCTCGCAATGCGATCCGCCAGCCTCATGGAAATATAGAAATGACAAAAGGCTCGCGTGACAACACAAAGGAGTGGCGTAGTGGGCTAGATCGATGGGTGTATATATGTTTGGTTTTTAATTTGGCTTATTCATGTTATATTTTATGACGTCTTTACCAAACCCTAATTAACGCAAATGTTTGTTTTTGTAGTCAGTATTCTTTGTTTTGTTTTTGTTTTTAGCACTGCAGAAAGTCCTTTTATGATCAACAATTTGAGACAAGAAAAAAAGGAGTTTGAGACAAGAAAGAAAGAAAGAAGATGCAAAAATGAATTTGATACTTGAACATGGAATATTATTACAAAAAGGACATCAAAGCATTTATCTTACCTTTGCTTTGTTGTAAACATCAAGACGAAATATATATTGTTATGATACCTACATTTTTATTAGTTTGTATGCATGTRTATTAAAAACTAAAAGTTACATCGTTAACTATGCTATATATAATATAATTAGGTTGTCATAATTTCTATGAAAGTACACTACAAAGGCTCTGCAAATACTCAGGAACTTACTATGTACACACGCTAACTAGATATGTACATCTTTTAATTATATATGGACAATGGAATTCTCTCTTATCTACAGTGTCAAAGCTTTAAAGGTTTAAACAGTTCMATGGTTTTCTATTTTCAACAAATTTCATTCTACAACATTTTGGWTGGGGTGGTTGTAAGATGTTAATATCTTTGTACATTGCTCTGATAAGACAAACTGCAATTGTTTGCTGAATAGGTGGTTGCAGGCCATGTAGTGAAACTTCTACAAGAAACATGTTAAAACTAAAACGTCTATCAACTTGAATGTTTACAATTTTTTACAGCAAAACCACTTTCATTAAGATAACATTGAATTATAAGAGATTTTGCATCGTAAACACATTATTATACATTAGTSTTTTAAAAATAATCTGGTATCTTAAGTCTATCCTTTATCTATTGATGTTTTGTGTGAATATAGGACGAATTTGCCACAAGATATAGTCTTTGCTCTAATTGTCATCATGCTTTTGAGCTTCCTCAAAGAACATGAAGTCCTGTGAAAGGAAAACAWACTCTCTTCAAACAAAAATCAAATATTGGTGACAAAAAAGCTAAAACCAAAATAATGAAAAAAATGAAAAGAAAATAGGAAGAGAGGAATGAAACAAAGAAGGGCTACTTACAATGAGAAAGCAGGATCCAAGGACTACAGCTTTCATTTTCACATCAAGATCCATTGGAACTGCACAAAAAGAACATTTGTTGGGTTTTTAAAATAAATACATTTTCCAAATTAATCCTTTACAAAGTCAGCTAGTACTATAGAGCCTGGGACTGATAAAAAGGTGTATTATACTATTATAGAACTAACTAGTAAAAAACTACATACATGTGATCCCAAAGTTGTCAGCATCAGTGAACATCTCCTTTACAAGACCAGTCCACTGTTTAGATATTTTGCCCACTTCATTCTGGCCATCGGCAGATAACACCTAAAGAACATCAAATGATATCATTCTTACTGTCCAATATATATTTGGCTTTTCTGATGACTAGTCACAAACTTAATGCAGTTTGAAGCACTTAAGAAACAATAATTAGCGTTGATGTGCTCTTGTTGAGCTGTTTGTGTTGGTTTGTTGTTTCTTTCTTTCTTTTCTTTTTTTTTGGGGGGGAGGGGGGAGGGTGGCAAAACTATTTTGCTTACTTACATTGAATTCAACATCACCACAAATGTTGCACTGACAGAAAGGTCCTTCAATTTTCAGCACTGTTTCACGATTTGCATTTTGGATTGAAAACTTTGGAATGCAAATGGACCAACTGCAAAAGACAAAGACTGAACTCAGCAATAAAACAAAACATCAATACCGCTGCATCTTCACCATGTCTATTGCTCCTCTTTAAGCACAGATTTGGAATCCTCTAAATATTTTTACTCAACACAGCAAACATGACTTATAAAGATTATATTTTTTCAAATCAACTAAAATGTCGATTTATCAATAAATTAAACTAAAATGTCGAGTTATCGATAAATTACAAGCTCAAGCATTTGCATTTTGAAATGAAGTTACATTYATTTATTGCCTTCCAAACAAGACTTATAAAGCWAWACTTACTCTTGTACACAGTAGCCAACAACAGTTCCAGGAGGTGCCTGAACTTCTATCTCTTGTAAGCAACAAGGGAACCAGCAAGATGAACAACGTAAWGGGCGAGTCAAGTGTATAATCTCACGTTGGAAGTTATCCAGGATTTTCATTTCAAATGGTCGACCAGGACCACAACATTGACGAGTGCAGCAATCAGTATCTTTAAAGAGACATCATTTTTTTACAAGCATTAAATTTATAATTATAATTATTTCTAGAGTTTTTGTTACTCGGAAATATTCCAGTTGTTTTAATTGGTATTATAAAACTCATTAATATTCATAAGGCAAAACACAATAGAAATCATAGCCCATGAAGAGAGTTGTATATTACATACAGATTTCTTGTTCATTTGCATAAACTTTTACTCTGATTTTCTGAGTCAGATTGAATTTTTTTTCAAAAGTTTCTTTAAAACCTGAGCTAATTTACCTTAACGTTTCATAAGTAATATACAATATTCGCGTGCGATCTGTATGAGGATTTAAAACAGCTCGCTTTCAGCTCGCTGTTTTAAATCCTCATACAGATCGCCCGCTCATATTGTATATATTACATAAAGTTCAAACTATACATGCAGGTAATAAATCATTAAACCACAATTCCTTGAATAAAAAAAATCTGATGACCACTTGTACCAAATCTATGATCAATATAATCCTTTTTTTGTTGTTGAAATAATACAATTTTTAATTTGATATTCTGGCATTATCAGGGAGAGTACTTCACAATTATGATAAGCCAGACAATTATTTTAGGAATAGTTTATAACWTTTTTTTGCAAGCTATTCTTAATGTGGAAGTAKTTAAAAACAAAATCGCTACTAGCCGTATTCAAGTGAACTCATTTCAAACTTCGATATATTAAAGAATAGACAAGCAATTAGCATTCTTTTTAAGGATATTCGCTTGAATTTATCCCATTTTTTATTTCAAAAAGTGCATGATGTCATCTGTACTAACTCTGACAAATACTATATCCAGAAACAAGTGAAAATAGGAAAAACTATAATTTAATAACTCAAAAAATCCTTTCTATTCAAGATTAGCAGGTTAAAGAAACAGTATTCTAGTAAATCCCTTTGACAGACACGTACATATGAATTAAAATAACCATGACAACGACAAAATATTTTGACTGGAACAATTACAATGATCTTTATAACAACATTAGATGATATTTTTTTAAGATCAGCGTTCATTCATATATATGTATATATTAGCTCGAGTTTATCAAAGTTTGTTTCGTTTTTTTTTTTATTCGCCGATTACCTTGCCAAGGCATTTTTACAAGTAAATTATTTTGTTAAAACGACTGTACGTCATTAATATTTGAAGGCATCACACAGCGATTATAGCTTCACCAAATTCCCTTAAAGCTGAACTGCTAAATACGAAACTTGATTTTATTRCTTTTAGTTTCGTTAGATAATATTTTCGCAGCAAATTACCTACACATTTAGTTTAGGTGTTTTTATTGTGCGTTTGGTCTGTTAAACCTGTGTCGTCATAGATGGCACACATCACGCAAGGCTACTCACCTTCGGCAGCAAAATACACTTGCTGTCCAAGATTATTTGTAATTTTGTATTTATTGTTAGTCTCAAAACCAGTAAAAGCTGAAAAATAAAAATAAATATCATTTGTTTCAAATTATTCTTTAAGCATTGGGCTCAAAAACCCGGTCAAAATCGATAACGACGTCAATTTATAACCTCAGTCTTTTTACCTTCTAATAGTTCAACTTGCTGTTGGATTAAAAGCTGATTGATTTGAGTCAAGTATTCAAGACCTGGAGGGCAATCTGGTGGAGGCTGAGGAGCGGGCATCCACATACCCTGACCCTGTGCTGGAGCTGAGTATAATGGAACAAAAAAAAAGATTAAGCTTAAACACTGGAAACTTGAGCCCATCGACGTTACACCCTCTAAAAACATTGCCTTGAATAAAACCAACAAATATAACATTCGGTTATACAAGATTACAAGCACGTATTATTTACTAAAAACTTCTAATTTTGATTTAGGGAGGGCTGAATTATCGGCTTTAAATCTGACAACACACCAGCACTAATAATCTGCATCACAAGGAAAYCGATAGGACCGAAATCCAAACAAATCCAAATTTCGTTCTCAAACGAACTAATAGAGACCTAACAACGATTCAGAAACACACAAGGATGAAGCTTTAATTGAGTAAAATCTAATCCTAGCGTTTAAAATAATGAAATATGTATTAAAAGCTCAGCTTTTCACGGTTCGCGCGCGGAAACAAACCCGCATACAATATTAATATTACATCCTGTAACTACAACACTGTTTTGAAACTAAAAACAACACGGACTAGAGGATAAACACACTTGCTACATCATTGCAGCATTGAGATTCTTTAAATCATAGAGTAATGATTAGTTTTCTAAGTTTATAATCTAACCTGCAGCCGGATAACCCGGCTGTTGTGACACTGGAGGTGCATACCCAGGTTGAGCCGGACCGTAGCCTGGTTGTTGTTGAGGAGGTGGATAGCCTTGTCCTTGTGGAGGTGGATAGCCTTGTCCTTGTGGTGGTGGATAGCCTTGCTGTGGAGGGGGATAACCTTGTGGCGGGTAAGCGCCTGTGTGTTCTACAGGAGGCGGATAACCATAACCTTGTTGAGGCTGAGCCATCTTTGATTGTTGACAGCTTTAGATTTATCAACTCGTTCAACGGTCGCTATTAAGCCGAGGAAGTCTGGGGCAAAAACATGAGTTGAGAAATGAAAGTGGACGGATATGATGGCGACGGAAATGGATAAGAAAGTATTTTTTTAGTTTTAGAGGTCTCAAATAAAGACACAATGATTTTTTKGAGACCATTTGTAATGAGAGAACTATCGGCCAATTGAACTGATAAAAAAGGATCAGGATCTGAAACTCTCCCAGCAGTAGAGAATCACTATGGACACTTGATTACGGTCCCAAAAGTGCCCGTTAGAACGAGTGTTGACTTAAAGAAAACTTTTTCTAATTTCTTCTCCTGTCCCGTCCTGTCCCTTCCAAAGTCCACAACCTATTCGGCTTGAATTGCATTGTGGGATGTATACAATATGGCGGATATCGAGATGAAAGATGAGTTGAAAGAAAGAGTGCAAGATACGCCGATGGAAGAAGCTAGTACTCAATCAAAAGATAAAGAGCAACAGAAAATGTTTTCTTTAAAGAAATGGAACGCCATAGCAATGTGGTCTTGGGATGTAGAATGCGATACTTGTGCGATTTGTAGAGTGCAAGTCATGGGTGAGTGTTTTATGACGTGTTGAGCTCWTGTAACTTATGTCTAAGCATTTTATGTAAGCTGTTACTTTTCCTCTATCCTAAAGATGCGTGTTTAAGATGTCAGTCAGACAATAAGCAAGAAGAATGTGTTGGTACGTACAGTAAATTTTAATAAAAGTCATATGGCCCACAGACAGTTCTGGAGATTTGTGAAATCGAAAATATGCTAATTAGAAATCTCGTTGGCAAGTTTTCTGCTCCCTAAAATCAGATTTACTAACTCTGCTAATGGAAAATACCGTTGGAATGAGGTTTGCACAAATGCCAGTTTGCTGTTTGGGCTTYCTGTGGCGTTGACAAAAACATCACAGCCATTTATTCTAATTAAAAACCTGTTTATTAAAGAAAGATGTATTGATAAATGACCTTCATTTGTCAATTTGAACAATTAGTATCTTGATATTTATGGGATGAGGGTCAAAATCTGGAGACTCCCATATTATCATAAATTATTTATCTATTAGGGTTGGCACCTATTAGTAAAATTATAACTGTGATTGAGAAGTAAAAACATAATCTTTAGCTTTGTAAGCTACAAATAGCAGTACTTCTTCATGCAACATGAGATTTTCTTATTCAAGTGCCTTTGRCCACTTCAACTTGAGAGCTTGTCAAGCTTCGTCTTTCGAAATTCAGCACCCGTGCTGAGTGGAGGACAATTAGCACCAACCATCTTTTTTCACTTACCTGTTACAAGTTGGAGGGGGTRGGGGGAGCATTTAAAAATTTGTTCCCTGTATATTCATTCTCAATGTTTTTTTCCTTGTTTTCTCTGAGTAGTCCAGTTTAGCATGCTCATAAGATCAATGATAAACTTTTTGTAGTGTACCATGTTATAATAAATGTACACCATTATTGTTTTCAGTTGTCTGGGGAGAATGCAATCACTCTTTTCACAACTGTTGTATGTCACTATGGATAGTTCAGAACAATCGCTGTCCTCTTTGTCAGCAAGAGTGGGTTGTACAAAGAATTGGRAGATGAAGCAGACRTCCTTCCAATTACTGAATATCAGCTACACACGCTGTACTTACATAATTGTTATAAACAGTCGGCCCCTGCAGTTACATTTGCCTTCTGACTAAATAAATTTTGCTATCAATTTTCTGTATTATTACTGCTGGGACAGAAGACTACAAAAATGTATTTGTAAATGTACATAAATTGGACAATATTGGATATACCAAGATAAAGACTCGTGAAGCCTGCTTTCCAATAGTCATCCTTCTAGTATTAATATTAGTCATCCTTCTGACCAGTCAAAGCTTGGTAATAAACACAATATTAATTTTATCAATCCATGGCTGATGTTGTTTTTCGATGTTCTTTATATTTAATGTATACTTTTACACTCTATGCAAACTGCATAGTGGTTGCCCTAGTCAAATATATGGACTAATCACAATCTATATTATAGCTATCATAGTCAAATGTTATTGTTTATTTTAACGCTAAAAGCATGGATGCAAAAATGCTGTAATATAAAAGCAAATAAACAACATTTCTGTGCGTTCCTGGTGTTGTTTATTGCTTTAATATATTTATAGCATTTCCACATCGATGCTTTTACCAGTGAAATAAACAATAACATTTGACCAATCACAGAGCGCGTACTATGAAAGCTATAATATAAATAATGCCTCAAGGTAATACATTGGATTGAATGAGAAAAAATTCTTGATTCCATTATTATTTTTGAAATGTTGTCAAGGGAAACTGCACAGCATGTCATGAGTTTTCCCTACAGCCCCCTTCATTGACATTCCCACAACCTTGTACAGTTGCCTTCAAAATATTGAACTCAAAATATTTGGCTGTCCTGTTCAGGTGATACAGGGAGTAGATAAGTGCTTTCAAAGAAAATGAAAACAAAAGACTTGTGTATCGGTAATGGATTTATTTCTTTGCATGTGTTTTTTTTTCCTTTTTTTTCTGAAATGGCCACAAAAACTCTGTTCCCACATTATTGGTTTATTAATAAAACCATAATGGTTTATATACCCTCATGGCACTGTTTGAAGTTTCTAAATCAGCAATGACCAAATTAATTTTTTATAAATACTGCTTGTAGTGTCTAACTATCACTTAACACCACTTCTAACTGACCAAAGACTGAGGTGCATTATCCTGTTCGCTATTCCATTAGATTTCAGGGAGTGTTTCCTGCTTAAAAACAGCATCAATTGAATGAATGTTCATTGATGGCTGGGTAAAGTAGCATGACCATTTTGATCAAGACATCTTCCTTTTTGAATATTTTACAATAATGGATACAAATTCAGTCTCACAAATTTACATTCTAAAATAATGAAGTCATTTTCTGACCCASACATTGAAGTCAGAATATAACTTACACCTTGAGTGAAAACATACAAACATTCAGTCTTATTCATAACCATACAATAAACAATCAAATTGCATTTTACACGAGTAAATTAAGCCTATAGTGCATATATTATCTTTCAAGACATGTCAATCACAGACAAGCAATCAGTTGTGTATTTGTTTCAGCAGTGGTTATGCTATATTTTGATTTAATTTGCCTTTCCAGAATTCAAACAGGGACTGGGAATGAGTATGAAATTACTCCACTTAAATTTCAAGTTAGAGCATATTTTAGATGATTACTCACAGAGTAATATATTTTCATGTATTTTTTTTTAAATTGTCATAATTGTGCTCCATTATTCATTTATTTGAATASATGCTAAGTCAGGAAATTAAATATGGTCCTGTGTGATGCTTTTCCTGATTACATTTTCTGAGGTGTTGGCTTGGCATCAGTACCTTTTTGAATTCTGAGTAGCCTCCGATAAATATTGATTGTACACCTATATTGAGAGACTGCCTTAAGGCTTACTCAAACAGAGCCATGAGGACAATAAAAGAGCTAGCAGTTAAACCATATTATATACAAAAAGAAAATGCTTGTTATAGAAATACAGCTGTTATTTTTTCACTGGAACTATACATAATATTTTAACCATACAAATCACCTTTCCTATCAAACCCCAAAAGAATATTGGTTTGAAACATTACCCAGTAAATCTGATTGAAAACACTGSACTAATCTTCATGGTGAACAGTGTTTCAGATCTTCAAGATAGCATTAAAAAAGTCATTTTTTGGAAAGTATTTAGTAAAATGTTTCTTTGGTGAAGTATTATACAGTGGTCTGTTTTCCAGAAGTGACTCGAGGTTTTGCAAATTCTACAAATTCATCTATCAGCACAGGCCAGGCACCTGGGAGAGAGAAGATTAATAGTCTGAGAGTTGAGTCACCCACCATTAGACCTTTCCTTGGGTTTAAAGCAAACAAGGACTGCACTTATGCAACAGATGATGTCCCTCATGTGGGATAAGCAGTTATCATTCAAAATGTTTTCTATTGCCTCACTAGAAACTGAACTTCAGTTTACTTTTTTTTATTTTCAATATATATTTTACCATAATTGTAAAAGATTATTTGAGAGAGCAATATAATGAAAGAAGAGCAAAAGAATAGTCTCTTCCACAGCTCCCTGAGTCATCTTCAAAGATAGCTGTGCCTTTRCTTCAAAGTGAGAAGATCACTGAGCATGCAACAATGGAAACCTTTCACACTAATAGGACAGGTATCCATCATTGCACAGCCCTTGAACTTTCAGCTAGAGACAGCTTTCTCTGATACAAAGATTGGTTACCTTTCAAGATGATCCTGGGAGCTTTGAAGTAGACTAAGTGGTACATGTAGGTTTGTGCATTCACACATGTAGCAATACAAGACTACAAACCTTCCTCATCGTAATTTGACATATCATCTTCTATCATATTGCTAAATTCAAGTAACAGATTCCAAGTGTCCCTAGATATAGCACGCTTGTGATGGTTCTGACAAAAAAACAACATTTATTGATTTATTACCAAAATAATGTGTTTAAATAGTCTGGTAATAACAGTAGACTAGGTGTAGTTTTATCACAAAATCAAACTACAAAATGTAATCCAATAAATCTATTAAACTCACAAGAAGAAATTCACACCAAAGGTCCAAGAACTTGAACCGTGTGCTAAGTAGAATTCTCCAGTATGCAATTGCCATTTCTAAATCTGCAAAAAGGTATAGTTTAATATACAAAAATAAAACAAAGCAGCATTACAATTATTATTTTAACACTTCATAACATRAAAGAGCATTGTTATACAAAAATTGAGCATTGTATTGTCACTGAATTTGTATTGCCTAATTGTTGTGTTGTTAAGTCTTAAATAAGATTTGGATTTGAACATGTATCAGTAAGGAYAACTTATTTAGTTATTCACCAATAAAAGAAAAACATTTTAGGGTCTTACCTAAACTTTTTTGCCCAGGGGTTTTGGCAAAGATAAATGTAAATTGGTAAAGGTCTTTGAACTTTGCAAAGTCTTTTAACTCGGATTCTATTGATGGCAATTTACTCTTCAACTTTTCCACAGAATCACAACTGTAAAGAACGAGAAACAATTAAMATTTTTTAATTACTTCTTTGACAGCATAAGAGAATAAAATATAATCATTGAACTGCAAACTCACTTTAGGTCTGTCATTCCATCAATAAACTCTTTTTTACTGAATTCGCATTGTGTTGCAGCTTTAAATTTCCATGCAATAATAAGAACTTTAAGGCTAGCGGGATCTAAGTGTAAGTCTTCTAAAAAGTGCCCTATTCCTTCTGCCAAAATTTTGTCTTCATCATCACGATCTATAATAAGAGAAATAAAATTAAAACTACATTAATTTTATAAGTTGCAATAAGAATGAAAATGTTATTGTAAGTTGTTTGGACTGGTTGAAACAAAGTCAAAAATACAAAGGAAAGTTGGAACTGGCGATCAAAAGACCTTTGTGACATATTTTTGAAGGAGAGAGATTCTTTCTTTCAATGCTWGGTTTTGTGCTTTACAAGATAATACTATTTGCTGGCTAAATCAAAAATTATAACCATTAGGTTTTCAAAAYGACACACAAAGTTCTTGTGTATTTAAATGATCCAATTAGTAGCCACATTGAAACTAATACAAAATGACACAAAAAGTAATCAASTTTGTCATGGAAATTGCTAGAAATCACAATAACAAACATCTGAAAAGGAAATTTTTTATTGTATACCCATTAATGATGACAGGAAAGTGGAGATTTCTTCCAAGAGGATTATCACAATGGAGAGTATATAGTACATCCATTGTATTAATACCATAACTGAGGCATATTYGTACTGAATGTAGGTATATGACAAAAATATATTTAGATGACCTGAAAAATACCTGTTATCTAAAAATAATATGCTAAATATAATTTCTTGTAGTTTAACATCAAAAAAAGAACTGAAAATTTGAAATATATCAATAAATTTGTCTTAACTCCAGAGTGGAATGAATTTATGTACAAAAATGCAATTTACATGTTGCATAATGAGAGATGATGGGTTGTAAATCACAACAACCCACACACATTTGCTAATATATGTAATTAATATTTGTCTTTTAACAGAGGTATGAATTCTAGTTAACAACCCAAATATAATTATAGTCTTTACAAAGTGAATACATGAGAATAACCATAGCTTTGCTGTGGACATTGGGGCAAAGTATGTTTGGAGTTTGGCAGAAACGGTTTATACAAGAATGACAAGAAACATATGATATTGTCACAATAACAAGAATCTAGCGAAAACTCATACCAAACGATTAACAAAAGATCGAATACGGATGTAATACCGTCTGTTAACATCGCACTTCATGTAAAAAGGGTTATTAGTGTCAGTGTTATGAAAAACTGGACTATATTTCAAACCTGCAAGATTAGACTAGCTTGCAGTTCTGCTGACCATTTCTTACCCTTGTAGCGATCAAACAAGTGCGCTAGCCTCTTTTTATCCACAGCTACTTTAGACTCGGAATAATAACGATCAGGATTTTGGAAGTAGTTATCAGAGGCAACATCAAGACGCCAGTCATGTTGATTCAAACAAGCAATAGCTGTTCTCTCGTTGGTTTCGGTACAGAGAACAAATTGCCTGACTTTTTCTCGCTGCGAACTCTTTAATCTATTCTATAAAACAAAACAACGGAAACAACATCAAAACATGGCATTTTTACTGCTTAGAAATCGTGCAGTATTGGAATGCAGGGCACAGCAAACACTAATTTTTGCTTACCATTTCCTCATAACTCCCGAACTCCAACCGCCCTGGCTTCGCGGGTTCTATTCACGGGAACTTTGAGCCTACGGTATTTACATTCAGCGAAGCATACCCCTTCCCACTCCTCCCCACTCCGTAGAGGAGATTTTTGATAGAACTTCTTGAATCACAACAGAAGTYGAATGAGTAAATACACTAAAAGAGAGAATGATAATTTAGGATAACTTTTTCCAATGAAAAAAAGACTATTTCCAAGAAAAAGTGTTATTTTTGTCGTATTATTTTGAATGAGCACGTTTTGCTGAGAGGGGAGGRGTAGAAGAATGATTTTATTACTCTAGTGCCAGGCTACMTCTTTCCAAAGCTATATTTACTTCCAGAGTCTTGATCCTGCATGAGGGCATAAAACTGCACCATTTACGGTATTACTCATAAATCTATCGCGTCCGTTATGACATGAGGACTGTTATATTTGCTAGATTATACAATGATCATAATATCTATTCCGAAATACATCAAGATCAACGATGACAGAGGAGATTACACAACATTTGAAATTCACACTGCGAAACCAGGTGGTACTAGTATCATTGAAAAAAGGTATAGCAACTTTAGAAAGCTAGACAAAAAATTACGAGAAATTGGCATCGATACTCCACATTTGCCACCAAAGACATTAATGAACAAAAGCGCTAAGCTACTAGAGTCAAGACGCAAGGGATTAGAACGATATCTCCAAGCATTAGTTGATTTTAATGTCGATGAAGATGTGTTTGGAATATTATCAGAATTCTTAGAGACTCATCTTCCTACATCCTTACCTAGTCGTCCGCGAGGAACTAGCTCAGCTGATGAACTTGACGCTGAAGAAGCAGCATACCCACAAACGACACACCAAGGTGTGCTGATGTTCACCAAGGATCCTGTAATGCAGTWTTACACAGGAAATGGYAGTGACTTTTTTGATGACTGGAATTCTGTACCCGATACTGTTATAAGGGGAGCAATGGATGGTTTATATAAAGATGACAGCAATGATTCACCTTGGTTATCAAGCAGTAGCTAGTCACTTTACAAATGTCAATAGCAAGCATACATACCCATAATGCGTGGAGTGGGATGCGATTTTCGATATTCTTATTTTGAGATTTACACTCAATCACTCAATATATTTATATATATATAATGTGATTTGAGGAAGTGGTGGATTTTAGGTAATTTTTTTGTGGGTAAGAACAAGAACAACAATGCAAATGTCCACTCTTAATTTTAGCTAACTGTTGAATGATAGTTSTTATTTTCTTAGCCCACCTTGCCCACTATGCCCACAAGGTGGTTAGAAAGTGAACATTGAGTAGTACCATGACATAATGTGAAACCTCTTTCTTAGTGCACATGCTTYTAGTTTCTGAAAGTAAATATGAGCAGACTTCTTTAGCATCAGAACTAATCCAAATTGAATGTAAGAAATGAATTATTGTCCTGAGAATTTTTTTTGTACTGTTATACTTTATTTTGGAAGTCAATTTTAAAGCTGATCAGTGGTTTCATGATAAAAGCCTCTCTGATGAATATTAAGGGAAGGTCAGAAATAGATGTTTTATTTTCTTAGTCATAGGTATTATGTGTATGTCATGAATTTTTTTATTTAATAGAACAATTTTTWAAATATTCACATTGAAAGACAATAAAATGATGTGAATTTGTCAATTATGATAGAATTAAAAAAATAATAATAACTGCTGCTCCCAGAATAAAATGTCAAAAAAAGTATAATTTGTGTGTGACATGTCATCTTGGTAGTTTCTACTTGTAGAAATGGAAAAACCAGTGAACCAGTTTTGCATGGATATGTATGTATCATATTTAACTGCAACAGCTGAAACTTTGAGTTTGAGCATGTTGGCCTAGTGTGTTTAAACATCTGGTTTAATCTCAGCAGCGTTTATGGGTAAATGCTGCTTGAAATGCAGGCTAGTATGWGTGTGTGCTGGTATATAAAAAACAATGTGCATAGCATATGCTTGACATGAAAAGAAAGTTGAAATGACTTCACAGCCTTCAATAAATTTGTGTCATTGATTCCAGAACAACAAGGGGCCGTTTGGCGTGCGCATGCGCCAGTCTGTTGAAAATTCATTGAAATTCATTAGTGATTCACTTCAAGCGAGAAATTACAACGACACGAAGGACAATTTCCAAAAATGTTTTTGGCTGTTTTTGACCCTGAAATGTTCTGTCATGACTCAAGAACACCCATAAATAGTGTAACCTACAACGAGGAAAAACACTGGCGTCATTGGACTGATTGGGACCGTTTAAAATCTTATTTAACAAATGTTGATATTAATGACTTTGTGTTTACAATATCGGAGGCTGCAGTGGTTTATATACGCAACTACTATTCCAGTTTTTGCTGAGTGCTGGTCAAGATTCAACGCAGGTCATGAAGTAAATGGTAAATGTACACATGGAGTAATATAATTAGGCGTTGTTTAGTAACATCGACCTCGAAATGTTCGAAAGACAGTTTCTTGAAGTGTACAATATTTACGCTTAAATATTTTTAACTGTTGCATGAAATACTACTTTCCTTTTATATACCACCAGGACTCATTAGAATAAGGCTWCCAATATCAAGACTTATGCTTTGCAAATGGTTTGATAATGTTTTCTTGTCTATGAAAAATGTGGAACGGTGTTAATTCTGCAAATTCTTACGTGCTGTTGAGAACTTACGGCAAATTTAGCATTCTTTTGGCTGAAGAGTTGAGCTTGTTTGAATCAAGTTATCATAAATATCTATGTGTAGTTYTATAGCTGTATCATTATAAGTTATGAAATAAACTATTGCAGTGCAATCGATTCACATCTTAGGAATTTATTATTGCTAAAGGTGTGCCCAAATAATTCACTACATTTTAACGGTACAAAGTGGCTTCGTGTTATAAATCTAGCCCGAGACTCACAGTAATTTATATAAAGTTTGAAAGATATTCGTGTGCATTGTAAATATATCTACTTGGTTTTGTTTGGAAAAATGTGGAAGATAAGTAAAAACATCAATTATGTTCAGAATCGAAGCTTCCGCAGCTACTACAATGTTATTCTACCCGTATTCTAGAGCCCGTGGTCGTTATAACGCAGCGGTTGCGCGCATGCTCATGCAAAACGGCCCCTTGTTTTCCAGAACTAGAGTTTCCATAGAGTGTTTTTTTTTTCATATTGACCGTGAGTGGCCTGAGGTAACTCCTGAGTCCGCAATGTTTTAGCCAGCGTGATTTCCCATGAGAACACAATTCATGTAGAGACGCCATCTTGCATTTTAGCGAAACTTTGAAAGAGAAAAAACTTCAATATTTGTTATATACCTTGAATTTGTGGCGTAATCACTTAGCCAGGAGATGACTACTGCTGCTAGGCCTACGTGGGACACGGCAAGAGGTGGTCGAGGGAAGGGAGAGGGAGACTTGTCTGCTTTGTCAAAACAGTACTCCAGTCGTGATCTTCCATCTCACACTAAACTCAAACATCGGTAAAATCACTTGCTTTATTTAACCTTCAAAATATTGTAACTCATATAGATAACAGGCTCAGTAGCTMCAAGTTCTGAAATCCAAATCTATTATTAGACATATCCTTATGACTAAGAATTTTTAGATTTACAGTATAAAGCCAGTTTTGATTGAAAGTTTTTAAGTGTAGAAAATGATATTTCATTTTTAAGACAAACTGGGCAAGATACCATCGATGAGGTCCGCAGCCGTGATCTCCGCAAAGACCTTGAAGACAAGGAGCATCTGGCTCAAAGAGAACGTGCTAAGGAGAAGAGCGGACGCGGAGGGACAGCAGAACAAGCAAAAAGGGCTAGATTAGAACATGCACCAAATCTTGATGCTGATGACCCTGTTGATGATGATGATGATGACAACTCAGATGAAAGGTTCTTAAATTTTATCAAAAACATGGCATCAGATGTTTTATCAAAGATAATTATTCTTGTCTCCATGCAGATTATAATACATGCAGTGTTCTTCACAGTTTCCTACACCATGTTGAAAGGTTGCTCAGCTATTTCACTTTTCATCAAAGCCAGATAAGCAGCTTGGGCTTTCAATGATAAATACCACACATGTATCATCTTTGCAAGCTCACTTTATTGGTTTATTCCTTTGATGGCTGTCTTTCAAAATGGCCAGGGAATTGATAATTGAATTCAATATGATGTAAGAAGTTGTACTAATCTTTGTTTCAGTGACGACGAAGACGACACAGCTGAACTTTTAGCTGAATTGCAGAGAATAAAAAAAGAAAGGGCACAAGAAGAAATGAAAAAGGTAAAAATGTGGTTTTCATAACATACAAAAGATATTAAAGGGACACAGTCAATGGATGACATGCGCGAGTAAACTTGAAAACACTAAGCTAGTGTCAAGTTTATGACTCCAAGTTGGCGCGACATAAATCAGATCGTAAACGTAAACAGATCTAGAATATTCCAAAGTGTGTCAAAAGCACCACAAAATGATTTACCTGGAAGGTTATACTTTCAAAGTCCGTTAGAGGTGAGACTGTTACTGTGCATGTCATCCAGTGTCAGTGTCCCTTTAACTGATATTAATTGTCTTCCATGGAAAACCTTTGAAAATCAATGATGTTAAAAATTGTCATAATATTGTAAAGGAAATATATATTTAAAATATAGAGTAGTTGAATTGAGGACATTATACTGTTATAGTTGCCTGAAGAAACTGGATGTTCTGTAAAACATAAAAATGTATAGCAGAGGAAAATTTCTTGTTGAATTATAACAACTGATAGAGTTAGATCAGACCAGAACTGCATGACTTTGGCCAGCACTTTCCCATTGGAACCTCCCACTAGTATAATAAGTACATCATTACATTACAGGAAAAGCAACGAAAAGAGGAGGAAGAAAGAGTTCGGATGGAAAATATCATGTCTGGGAATCCTTTATTAAACCCTCAAAGCAACTATAGCGTAAAAAGACGGTTAGTGTATGATGGTGATTGGAATACTTTTTAATAAACAGTAATAGTTACTAATGAAATAAATGTTTCATTATTATTATGTCAACATGTACTAAAGCATAATGGTGGGAACTAGYGGTAAACTAGTGTACTAAAGCATGTTGTTTTGATGTTCTAGGTGGGATGATGATGTTGTTTTCAAGAATTGTGCAAAAGGGGAGGATACAAAGGTATACCATAAATTTGTCATCATTGTTTTGGTTTGACCTTATAAGTTTTGAAGTGTAAGATATATAACCTACAGTGTTCACTCATTATTGATATTCAAAATTTACAAATCAATAGAAATATTATTGGAATATTTCAAGTCTTGACTTTCCATACTTTCATTTTAGGGTCAACATTTTATWAATGATATGCTGAGGTCAGACTTCCACAAGAAATTCATGGAGAAATATGTCAAGTAAACTACAAATGACTGTACATGGGCACAAGGACAAATCTCTAGCAATAATCAAGTGGTTGAATAAAAGARACTATTGAAAGTATTTATTAGTGACACAACTAAAAAAAAAGCTCTACTTGTCTTCCTAAAATGAAGCACAGTAGCTTTCTGAGTAGAAAGAAAGACTAAAGTTGCGGTGTTTGTATGACCCAGTATTAAGCCAAGAGGACTTASTTTTAGCTTAGTATTTTGAATATCATCGGCAAACTCTGAAAAAGGAAATCACCTCCTTTTGACCCATATGTCATCTACATCTTTAAGTTCTGCTTTTTTTTCATAATTCTTCTGTTTTCATATACAACATAGATACAAATAATCAATTGTGAGAGTATAACAATGTTAGTAATATCTTGTTGAGCTTTGTATACCCTTGTTTATCGCTATGTCTGTAATTCTGAGTATCAAACATGTAAAA